CGGTCGGAAAACAGGAGCTATAGCACAAGATATTAAATATTTTCGCAAGTATTTCAGGCAGGCCAGGGACCCAAAGATGCTCCTTTTGAAGCCCGTCTGGTCCTGCCGCGGATTTATTTCCAATTTTCGTGATTCTCTCTCCGACATCCCCAGCGGTTATTGGCGGGAAAATTTCATTGATCGAAAATTCAGAGACTCTATTTCCTGGAATTGGGAGGCTAGATGGACCAGCACGACCCCATAAATCCTCATACAGTCTCCTCACTTCAATCGCTTCAGGCGGTTGCCTAGACGGTTCTGGGTATGCACGATCGTTATTAATCACAACGTCGGCTAACTTTCTGGGACATCCCTTAAACAGCTCCTGGCAACGTACGCACGAATAACGCTTTCTCCGACTTCTATTGTTGTATTTCCTTTTATCCTTATTAGATGGTTTCCTTTTTGTTCTTTCTTCTTTTTTCTTATTCGTGCGTATCGCTCCATTTAGAGATGAGCAGATAAATTCATTAATTTTTTCGATAAGGGCTTCCTTATTCCCTTTGTAACCGAACCAAATTTGCATTAATGCAAATAATTTGCAAATTAATTTGCAAACGGGCGTTTAGCTCCTTTAACGACGGGGGTACCTCGGTATGTCTTTCTATCTCTCGTGTTAATTCGAGTTTCCACTGATGGGTATACTTTTCAGCGTTTATATCAACACGTGCTTCAGGTTCAACGTGTAAATGCGCATTGCCTGAATTAAGGAGATCGCACCCTCCCTCTGTCACCTGAATACCCTCCTGACCGCTCGCAATCTCACTACCCACTCTTAAACATTTCCTTTTATATTTAATTTGGTCGATGGTGTTGATAGTGAGGATTTTACTTATCTCTTTATTTGGGTACTTATGATTTTTGAATGTTTCTTCGAGCCCTCTCAAGAGGGTCACTTCTTTTACTGTCCAATTTCTATTTGGGGGTTCTGCTCCCCTTCTTTTCAGGTTTCTCACAGCAGGGTGCGCATACCGTTCATGGGTGGATAGCCCTCTTTGAGTCCCGAAGTTCATGGGGCAAACCTCACACTTATAGGCTCCCTCTTTGCCTTTGGTGCCACTACACTTAGGTAAATGGCACTTTGCCCCATGGAAACTCTTGTCACATTGCAAACATCCCCTTTGTATACGGGCATCCACGTGATGTAAACCAAAGTGCTTGTCCAGGTCCGCTTCCGGGACCGAGAAGCGCTGCATCCGAGGCTTCTACATGTTTTTCTATTATTGATAGCAATAGCTGCGAATCCAGACAAATTTGTTATTCCGAACAATTCCAACTCTTAGTCCATTTTAAAGCCAGATCGTCAACAAGAAAACGAAGGAACGAGTTCCTTATTGTTTAATTAATTTTGGCGGTGACAATGCTTCATTCACGGTTAAAAAGAAAAAAATAGTAAACCGTTGTCGGCTAGCCGATAGCAATAAGTGTCTTTCGCTCCTTCGTCGCCGCACTCCATTCAGCCATGGGAGCCGCGTCCGGGGGACTATTCCCTACGCCGACCCGGCGCCCATGTTACCGGCGGTACCACAAGGAGGTAGGAGTGCAACTTGGGCAGACAAGGCCGAAGTCATAGTTTCTTCCGCCATATCATACCTGAGCCGTACTGGTATTGTTATACCAGTATGTAATAAAATATGTAATAAAATGGGAAAGAGAGATTGCTGTTGCAATCCGTCAAATACATTTTGAATAAACTAAATAAATTAATAAATATATCGGGTTCACATTATGATTAGGGTTAGGGGCGTGTAACGAATCTTCATTTGGATTATATATTCTTATTATGCAATAGAGAAGATATTTACTAGTACAAATATGATTATTAGTACAAGAGTGGATATTGGGAATTGACAAGTAACCGCGGTGATTAGACACTAATGACAATGGTCTTAGGTTCGATAACGAATCCACGGTCAATGGCATGACAAATGTACTTCCTTCCAAAGTCTAAGTCGAACTCGATCTACATGTCTACGGTACAAGTATTACTAAACTAGCTCTTTGCTAAAACGTAAAATATTCACCGAGCGTAAAGGCGCTATGTGACTAATGAGACAGAAGCCGTTGGAATGTTTACTGTCAACTATTTGCCGCTACAACTATTTCTTTTTAAGGAGAGCTATACAATTACTCTATACGTCTATTACGTTCGGCGACTGGTTGTCGCCTCGAGCACAAGCTCATTATCACAAATCTCGATCAAATATAATCAGATTGAATGACAACAATTGCTTAATTACGGCTATGGTAAAATCTAGATTAAAGTGCTAAGGGATTTTCCCAAACATTCAAAGGGAAGGCTTCGGTGTCCTTTCATCTCCGACAAATATAAATATAAATATAAATACTATCGAGAGACGCTCGTGAAACTCGTACAATAACTAATTCGCTCGCGAACACGTCTGCTTATTTATACTAGTCGGGGGAGAGTCGGAAAATTCGAATTCGTCTACGTTTGACGGTTGGCGACATTGTTTTGCCCGGAGTTTATTTGTTCTTACATTACTTGTAACCTAATGGTCTTGATACTTCGAGGCAAAACAACAACATGATTTGAATTGTATTCTGACTCATGTGCCGCTACAATGTTGCTTCTGAAAACCGAATTGATGATCTGACATTGTTTTCAAATCCGCTAAGAGTAGAAGGAGTCGTTTCGTTAGCATCTTCTCAAATAGTTTGGACAAGTATGTGGGAGACTAATTGGACGATAAGAGCCAGTTTCGTGTATTGGTTTTCCAGGTTTATGGATAAGAGTAATCAATGATATTTTCCAAGACTTAGGATAGTATTCAAGACCAAAAATTGCATTAAAAATAGAAGTAATGAGTACAATCCCTTTTATGGGAAGTTCCTTAATAACTTTGTTACTTATCAGATCATGCCCCGATGCTTTCCTGGAATTTAAACGACGGATTAATGCTATAACTTCGAGAGATGAGAAAGGCTCAATAGGAGGAGACATCTGGAAGGGAGAGTGCAAGTATTCAGTTATTTCCGCTGCAATAGTGGGAGTCCGAACATTATATTTATGGCTTCGAATAATCCGAACGAGGTAGCGATCGCCGTTTTTTCCACGTTCTCGGGCGCGATCGGCATTTGGTAGTACGCGCGGACGAGGTCAATTTTCGGGAAGATTCGCTTACCGTGGAGTTGTCGCGCGAAATCTTCGATGTGCGGCAGCGAATACCTGTCGGGTATTGTACGAGCGTTCAGTGCCCCGTAGTCGCCGTAGGGTCGTAGGCCTTCGGAACTACATGCAGAGGTGGGGGATGCCCATGGACTCTTCGATGGTAGAATCACTCCTTGCTCCATCATCAGCTCGAATTCTGCCTTCACCTGTTTGGGACGATCGGGGACGAAGCGTCAAGGTTTGCTCCAGATTGGAGGTGTAGGCGTGGTCGAATACTTTTTTGTCCAAAAACAGGCGGACGCGTTAAGTCCGGAAATTCGGCGAGGAGTTGGTGATACGTCAATTCGTCCATGATCGTTTCTATCGACGCTGTATCGGTCGTGGCCGAGTATCCCCTTGCGGATAGGATGGTGGCCGAGATGATTAGGTGTTTGTTTCGCGGATCCATTTGCAACACGTAGTAGCTCAAAAAGTCCAGGCAGATGGTAGGTGTATCAAAGTCTGCTACTATAAAACGCCACTTGAATTCTCGCCGAAGAGACAGATTCAGGGACATGAAGATCGTACCGGTAGAGAATGATTGGTCCTATGGCCTAAAATGGCGAGATAATTCGATATTGAAACCGTCAAATGTATTTAAAAGTAATTAATAAATACAGAGAATGTTCGCTAAGACGCTCGGTACTAACGGATTCGCTAAAGACTGTGTATAGATCGCTAATAAGATTGCTCGAGTCTGAGACTGATAAACTGATCGCGTTAGAATCGTGTTCGTTCATTTATACTGGTCGGGGGAGTACCGGAAGATAAATTCGACTTTGTTTAACGGTTGCATGGTAGCCGCGACATTATTTCGCCGGGAACTTATTTATTATTACATTATTTATGTCCTAACGATGTTGATACTCCGAGGCAAAACAACATGATTCGAATTGTCCTCTAGCTCATGTGCCGCTACATCACCCCCCTACCAGTAATAACGTTTTTTTTTTGTCATATTTATAGTAGGTTCACACAGTCTTTCTTTCTTCGTTGCTATTTTTTAAAAATTACATGGGTATCCGACAATTTTCGACGTTTAACCGAAACCTGCTTAAAGCCGATCAGGAAATCTGACCCTTCTGCCCGAACGCGTGACGTATTTATTTGTCGTATTTCTATTATTTTCGCTTTCTTGACTTTCGCTTTGCCACCATTATGTCCAGTATTTTTCAAATGCCATTGATATTGGAAGAAAGAATCCAACGGATCTCTGTTGCCAGGATTCGCTGGATTTCTTATTTGGTAAGGTGGTACCAGATTTTTCACGCTGAGAGATTTGTAGCCTCCCTTCACCTTCTTGAATAGGGGTTGTTGCACCGCTCCAATATCGGCTCAAGATTGACAAATCCATTTCTAGCTGCCACGCGATCGGCGACATGTATTTCCGCAGGTTGCCTCATCCGCACGAGAAACGTGCTCATGAATACTTCGGCACTGCTGCCGGCGCATAGGAGCGCGATCCCCGCGAGTAGCATCGAGTGCAGTGTCCGCTAATGTGAGATTTATCACGTTCACTGCCACGACACCCGTATTCGTGTGTCAGGAAAGCTTCCGGTAGGGCCGCCCTAACCCTTATTTGGGTGGCGCTTATTTGACTACTTACGAAGGATCGTCATAGGTACTTGAAAAGATATTCCAGAGGATATAATAAAACTATTGAATTGTTATAAAAATAATACTAAAATGGTTTATTAACAAAATTAGTTAGAATGTAAAACTTTAAAGCATTTTATATATAGCTGAGGTTGGTCGGGACAATTTGGACAATAAGTTGTTGTTTTCCCTAAATTCTTTTGTGTCTTTGTTCGGCCCATTCGACGTCTTCTATTTGCATAACATAATTTGCATGCGCGTCTAATGTTTCTTCGGGAATCATTTTTCCGAACGGCTGATTCCGTCGAAGACAAGGATTTTTTGTATTTTCAGACAACGCTAATAATCTTGCAGCTAATAATTCTCAAAACATTCTAATATTTATATCTGTAGCAGCTCTCGATAATAAACTAAGACGGGACGACGGTAGAGCAGTGGTTAGCGCTGTAGATTACGAAGGTTCAAGACCAGGTTCAAATCCCAGCACTCGTAGTCCGATTTTTTCTCCAAAATTTCTATCTGAGAAAAAGGCAACACGGATGAAGACAGAATCCCTATACACCAGCAGCAGCATCTCATAGCGACCTATACGCCAACAGCAGTACCTCATAGCAACCTATACACCAGCAGTACCTATCACGACCGTCCACCCCATATCCTTCCTTATTGCAATTTTACAAACTGTCAAAGGGTTTACAACAGAATTTCCCAGAAGGAGTTGAATGCCAAGTTTTCTGTACCATTTGATTCCTTTTCTAATCGTAGTAGCGTAAGAAACCATTTGGTCGGTATAGTCTATACCACACTTTCCTTCATTATATTCAACAACAGCTAGTGGTTTTAATGTTGCGAACAAACGAAGCGAAAGATGATTCTTGAGACCACCAGTTGAGCGACTCGCAGTACTAAAATATCGATGGGAGTACCTAGCAGAGAACGTCTGGTACTGCGACACGCGTGGCCTGAAGGAGATTTCATTGAAAACACGCGTAGCAGTCAATGTGTTATCAACGTTATGCCCCATGCCTGTCACGATGCTACTCGCGATGATCGTGCTCCTACAAGCCGGCAGCAGTATAGAAGTGTTCACAAACACGTTTGCGTGCCACAATCGCGTGGCAGTTAAGAATGGATTCGTCAATCTTGGACTGGTATTGAACAATTAGACGGAATGTCACTTCGTGCATAAAGCCCTACCTTACGCAAGGAACAAAAGATCCGTGCGTCACATGAAAAGGTTCAAAGTTGGTATACAGACCGGTACAACAATCCGGGTTCAAGAGGATGAAGAGAGGCTACAAACCTATCAGCGTGGATAATCTGGAGCCACTTTACCAAATGAGAAGTCCAGGGAATCCTGGCAGCAGAGATCCGTCTGATCCTTTCTTCCAATATCAATGGTACTTGAAAAACACTGGACAAAATGGTGGCAAAGCGACAATAAAAAAAGCGAAAATAATAGAAATACGACAAATAAATACGTCACGCGTTCGGGTAGAAGGGTAAGATTTCTTGATCGGTTTCAAGCAGGTTTCGGTTAAGCGTTTTGAAAATTGTCGGATACGGGAAATACCCACGTAATTTTTAGAAAATAACGACAAAGAAAGAAAAACTGTGTAAGCCTACTATAAATATAACAAAAAAAAAAAAAAAACGTTATCACTGGTAGGTGGTTGATCTAGCGGTACATGACCTAGAGGACAATTCGAATTATGTTGTTGTTTTGCCTCGGAGCATCACCCTCGTTAGGACATAAGTAATGTAATAATAATAAATAAATTCCGGGCAAAGCACTGCCGCGGCTGCATGCAGCCGTCAAACAAAGTCGAATTTAAATGTTCCGATACTCCCCCGACCAGTATAAATGAACGAACACGATCCTAAGGCGACCAGTTTTTCAGTTTCAGTCTCGAGCTATTTTATTAACGATCAATACACAGCCTTCAGCAAATCAGTTAGTACCGAGCATCTTAGCGAACATTCCCTTATTTATTAATTACTTTTAAATACATTTGACGGTTTCAATATCGAGTAATCACGTCAGGGTCACCACTTGTAGGGGATGGTTGATCGTGTGGTTTAAATAACGAGATTACTCGATATTGTAACCGTCAAATGTATTTAAAAACAATTAATGAATACGAGAATAATTAATAAATAAGAGAATATTCGCTAAGACGCTCGGTACTAACGGATTCGCTAAAAACTGTGTATAGATCACTAATAAGATCGCTCGAGTCTGAGACTGATAAACTGATCGCCATAGGATCGTGTTCGTTCATTTATACTGGTCGGGGAAGTACCGGAAGATTTAAATTCGACTTTGTTTACCGGTTGAACGTAGCGATGACATTTTTTTGGTCGGAGTTTATTTATTATTACATTATGTATGTCCTAACGATGTTGATACTCCGAGGCAAAACAACAACATGATTCGAATTGTCCTCTAGCTCATGTGCCGCTACATACTGTACGTCGCGATCCTCGTCCCGTTGGCCGTGAAAAGTTTATGGAGGGTTAGTCGTGGATAGGTATCGCGAAATAATGAGGGCGAAATATTGCTGTCGCAGTCCGTCAAGTATATTTGAAATAAATAAATATGCGTACAGTGAGTCGTTGATACAATATAAAACTCGGAATAAATACTCGTTATTGTTCGTCGCGTAGATACTCGGAGATGCTCGTTAATACTCGTTGATACTCGATATGAACTGTTCGATACTGTGTCGCACGCGATCGTGTCTGTTTATTTATACTGGTCGGGGGAGAGTCGGAAAATTCAAATTCGTCTTCATTCGACGGTTGTGTAGAGAATGAGGTAGTTCAAATATCGATATAATATTCTAAGTGTCGTGAGCACTTTATTTGTAGTGCCTTGATACAAAGCACGAGTCCTGGTCTAATACTAATCGTGATAAATACGCGCGTGTGTCGAGAAACTTCGTATACACTTTGATGCGTTGATATCTTCGATTGCTAAACTCTCTCGCTTGATAAACTCTCTCGCTCGTCAATTCGCCCGTTTATTTATATCGGTCGGGGGACAGTCGGAAAATTTGAACTCGTCTACAGTTGCATGTAGCGGCGACACTGTTTTGCCCGGAGTTTATTTGTTCTTATATTACTTGTAATCTAACGGTCTTGATACTCCGAGGCAAAACAACATGATTTGAAATGTCCTCTGATCCATGTCCCGCTACAAGTTCATAGCCGTCTTTGTTCGCGGGCACGCGTAGTTTATTGCACTGGTATACGCATTTGTCGGTACCCGTGTCCACGATAAAGGAGATCTTTGACTTTCTGTCGATGCGACGGGATCCCAGGTCGTCGTCGTATGCCGTGTTTACGGACAGCTGGTCCTGTTCCCCCCCTTTTTTTTTAATTTTAGCGAGGAGGGGAAAATGCTTTTACGCATACCAAAAGACCCGCGTCTCCGGGTTATGTAGGACTCGGCAGATAACATCGCCATACCCACTAAAACCCCCTCCTCATCCTTCCTCTGCTACGGTACCCGAGGCACCAACCCGGTACAGTCATTCGACATTACTTCAGGTTGGCCTCTACACCACGTACCCAATCCTTTATTTTCTCCCCTCTACTCTGGTCCTTCTTCTCCTCCTTCCTTTCCTTCTTCTCCTGACCTCCACCTCCCTTTCTTTAGAAAGCCGGCATTTCATCGCCTTTGTACAAAAGTCATGAAACCTGTTCCACAACCACTCCTCTGCGGCCATCTTCTCAACGACCCAGTTCTCTAATTTAAAATCTTCACCGATCTCCGTTCTCTCCTCTGTCCATCTGGGGCACCAAAAGATCACATGCCCGGCGTCATCCATCACCGCATCACAATTCTGATTTCTTCCACCAGCTCTTCCCTGCTCGTGACGGGGTCGATGTTCCTTATTTGTAGAGTCGCCCTGTTCACCAGAGCGGTCAACTCCATACTATCACTCAAGGCGGCTCTCAATTTAGCCGCCGCCTTGTTGACCACCACCATTCCACAGCAGCGGTCCCAAGACCGACAACCACCATCCTGTCGAATTCAATCAGGATATGGCCCGCTCTCATCCTACAGACCCCCGTGGCTCCCTCCAATGAACTCCTCACCGCCATTATCCTCTTATACACATGAAGCCATTCACAACCTTCCTCCACCTTAATTAGTATGGCTTCCTTCCTCCTCCTGTTTCTTGGTACGCTCCTCTCTTCGGTACCAACCAACCGGTTGCTTCCCGGGCGCACCATCGGGGTAGCTTGCTCTAAGGGAGCTCTCCTCTCCCTCCTACTTTTTTCTACCCTCATCCGTCCCTCGGAGTCCTCGCTGTAGTCACCCCTTATCACTCTATTCTCCCTCCCACACGCCTCAGCGTATGTGCCCTCTCCTCTTCGGAGCCTCTTATACTCCTCAACCCTCATACTTCCAGCCGGCGATATTACCTTTCTTTTTGAATGTCCGCCCTTGGCTATCGTCACTTCCCTCTCCATCTCTGCCCTGTCTGCCCCCTTTTCAACCTCGGCAGGCTCTCTCCTTCTCCTTCTTCTCTTTCCTTGTGTTTCCCACACTGCTCCAAGGTAGACAGGATACCTTTCATTATGTTGCCTATCTCCCTTATCCCTTCATCCTTCTCTTTGTCCAACTTTAACCTCTTCAACACCATGTTGAACATTTTAGCCACCCCTGCCATGGCTTGTGTGAGCCCTTTCAAATCAGCTCTGGAGATCAGAAAGTCCTCGTCGTTAACATCGCTAATCTGCGTATCGTCTCTCGCACTATCGTCGGCTTCGCTAGCCATAGCCGATCTCGCGGATTTCGCGCTGACGTTCCTCTCAACCACCCTCCTGGCCAGCATTTTAGCGTAGGCCAGCCCTTTCCCTGCTACCGGCGAACTGCGGTTGCTCCTTCTAGCCCCAAAGGAACCTTCCGATTCCTTAATCACTCCAACCACCGTCCTTTCACTAATCATAGGGCTCCTCTGAAGCCTCTTACTCGGTTTAAAGGGGCGGAAATCCTCATTTCCCCCCCCCCCTATTTTTCCTCGGAATAACCGAGATTATCACATTCTTATTCGGTTTCACGTCAGACACCATCCTCGGCTTCTCTCCTCTCGCTGTCGCCTTCTTTAGCTTTCCCTTCTCCTTTCCCGTTTCCTTTTCCCCAGTAGCTATTACCGCACAAGGGGGTGCCTGGGGTTCCACTTCCCCCCGCCGTTCTTCCAGTAACATGATGACCGTCGGGTCGTGCCTGATAAGTCACTCGTGTTCCCGACGGGGCCTGGGGGCTCCGAAACCCCCTGCGCCGTACGTTTATTTACCTTAGACCGCCTATCCATATTGTATATAGTAAACAAGTCCATAAACATCGCCAAGTCATCAACATCCTGCCCATATATCGTCCAAAAGTATCCAAGCATTGTTCATAAACTCGCCAGGTCGTCAACAAATAAGCCAAACAATGATAATATTTACAGTAATTGTGCTATCTGCGTTTCCCCTGTCAAACGCCTGCATACTGCTAAAGACCCGATGATGCGCGCCCAAACGCCCACAATATAGGTAAATAACAACAATATATAATAAATACCATAAATCAATAAATGAATAATAAATAATAAAATAAATATATAAATAAATAAATAAATAATTTAAATAATAAATAATTTAAATAATAAATAATACATATATAAAACGAATAAAACAATTACTAGTTAATCAATACAATGTTATAAATAAATAAATAAACTAAACTAAAAGAATAAATAAAATAATAAAA